CGGGCCGTGGGGTGTGAGCCCGAGCGTCTCCCTGCTTCCCACGGCTGCTCCTGAGGGGATCCGGTCACTGCGGTGCTTGAGTGATGCTTAATTTCACCTTGCTCCGCAAGGACCTTGCGATGTTTTCAGGGGAGGCCCAAGAGCCGGTTTCTTATGTTTTGGGAGGTTTGTGGGACATCACAACGTAAGACGTGCAGCACCACTGTATGTTAGCTTGGATTTGTTAGTCTTAGCTATTGTTTTTCTTTCCGAACGTATTGTGTATATTTTTGATTTGCAGCGAATTCTTATAAATAATAGTTCTAGGAGAAGCTTTGTAGCTGGGGTTGTTTAGCCTGGAGAAGGGGAGGCTCAGGGGAGAACTTACTGCTCTGCAGCTGCCTGAAAGGAGGGTGTAGCCAGGTGGGGATCTGTCTCTTCTCCCAGGCCACTAGTGACAGGACGAGAGGACATGGCCTCAAGCTGCGCTAGGGGAACTTCGGGTTGGATATTGGGAAAGAATTTATTTACACAAAGGATGATTATGTATTAGAATGAGCTGCCCAGGGCAGTGGTGGAGTTACTGTCCCTGGAGGTGCTTAGGAAAAGACTGAATGTGGCACTTAGTGCCATTGTCTAGTTGATCTGGGAGTGTTTGCTCGTAGATTGGACTCAATCTCAGTGGTCATTTCTGACCTAGTTAACACTGATTCTGTAATTGCTCTGTGCTATTAGCACCCTGTGTATTTATTTTTATTTTTTCTTTTAATTTAGATTATGTGGACAAGCCTCTGGAAAAACCCTTAAAGCTGGTTCTTAAGGTTGGAGGCAGTGAAGTCACTGAACTTTCTGGGTCAGGGCATGATTCTAGTTACTATGATGATAGATCAGATCATGAGCGAGAACGGCATAAAGAAAAGAAGAAAAAGAAGAAGAAAAAGTCAGAGAAGGATAAAGAAAAGCATCTAGATGATGAGGAAAGAAGAAAGAGAAAGGTAAGCTGTGTTATTTAGAATTCAGACACACCAGCCTTCATGCTTGCTTGTCAGGTCTAAAATCTGGTGCAGAACTTTGTTTAAACCACTGTTGCAAGAAGCTTATTGTTTTGGAGGTAGCACTTCAGATGTGTGGAAGACCCTTGTGTGTGAGTTGGTGTACTGCCATTTAAAGTCATTTAAAACTGATCATTCTGTGAACACAGTGAAAGCTTCCTTCTTATAGCTCTTTATTTTCCTTATTTATTTGTCTTGAATGAATGTTTCTGTTTTTCAGTAGGATGTTTTGTATTTTAGTCAGATCACAAACATGTTTTGCTACCATTTTACGGAGGGCGTTTCCAGCTTTTCAAATAAATCCAGGCTGCGTTTATCTTTTTGAGGTGTGCGAAGTTACTGGACACTGAAGTTGTTACTGCTGGGTACTGTGTTACATTACTTGGTTGGCTCTTGGAATAACCTGTGTGCTAGGCTTTGTGGCTTTGTTAGGAGCAGGTTGTGTTGAACGCTGGGGAGTTTAATCAAAAGCAGCAGTAAGACATTGACAGCACAGTTACTTATACAATTTAATAGTATTTCTTTTGTGTAGTAATGGTTTTCTGACCTTTCTGCTTTTTTAATTCTTTCCTGTCATGTAGTTTTACTATTCTTATGTGACAGTTTTTTTGGTGCTACTTTGCCTGTGTTTTTGGCTAACAGCTATCAATTCCAAGCAATACAAGCCTAACAAAAAATTAACTGGAAGTGACAGATCTCATAGGATCATTCAGAAGTTCTTGAATACAGCACAGATAGTGCACAATTTTCTTAGTACAGATGTTTCAGTCTGCGACTAGAAATGTAGCAAAACTAGCTGCCCTTCTTACAACATTTTGCAGTATCAGTTGCCTTTACTGAGTTGTGGGGTGTTGGTTGTTTGGATGTTTTTTCCCAGAACTTCATTATTAATACATTAAAAATATGCAAGCGGATAGCTAAATAACAAAACCATAGTCTAAGGAAGGTTGATGAAAACGTGCTTTTCTGTGCAAATGTGGATTAATAATTGCAGGATTTCAGGAGTGGCTTAAGCGTGCCTTTGCTTTGAAATCCAGAAAGATCATTAATTGCCATCACTGTTTCTTATGATTCTTTTACTGGCTGAGTTGTCACATGTTTTGCTCATTTCTGTTTAATGTGACAAACAATAAAAATACATTGATGAGAGCGGAGCCACAGATTGATCATTACTCAATAGTAAATGAACTTTCCTCGCTCTCTGGTGTAGCTTATTATCATGAAGTTTTACATATCAACAGCTTCAGAATTTGTCTTTTCAATAAACATGCAGGAACGATAGAACAATACTGTATTAAATAGAAGGTAGCAAATGATGAACAGTTCAGCTTTAATTGGAGAAGAAAATTGAAAAAGTAAAAGTCAAAATATATGCAGTATTGTTTGAACTATATTATGACTTGGATATTGAATGAATATTCCAAATTAAAAGCATCACTGTTGCTTATATTTTGCTGTGTGGGATTGCACATTCCAAGTACATCCCTCTAAAATATTTCTCTGTGCTGTCCTAGGAAGAGAAAAAGAGGAAAAGGGAGAAGGAGCAGTGTGACACTGAAGGAGAAACTGATGACTTTGATCCTGGGAAAAAGGTGGAGGTTGAGCCTCCTCCAGATCGTCCTATCAGAGCATGCAGAACTCAGCCAGGTGAGCAGTGTGAAAGTTTAAATGATTTTGGTTCTTTTTAAAAGCACACAAAACAAAGCTTTTTTTTTTGAAGGTATCAAAACGTAAAATTTTCATGAAGATTTACTGAAATGCAAGGACTTTACTTTTTCCAACATTCAGAACTTTCTGCTATCTGAAAAGTCAGTATTCCTCTTGGTGCTTCCATGTTTTAGTAGGTTTGTTTTCAGGTGACTGATGTTGCCATCTGTCTCTGGCTTCTGTTCCTTGGCAGAATAAACTTCATTATAAAAGCTCCTCTAATTCCCTCTCCTTAGTATTTACACAACAGTGATCAGAATGTCTGAAATTAAGTTTCACTTAGTTCAAGGGCAAAAACTCTTGTGGAGACTTCTTAGGTGTTGTTTTGATCTTTTTCTTTGTTTTCTAATCTATATGGAGTTTTAGTATCTCTATTCTCATGGAAAGGAAGTTGTGATAGTATATCACAACTGTAAACACCACACACCACTCGTTTTCCATTTACAAATCTTTAATTCTTATCAGCAGCCAAAATATTTGTCAGTTGTGTGTGGCAACTTCTGCATGTTTAATCCTTTCAGATTTTGGCAGTCTTTTTCTACCTGTAGCTATTGCTTGTTAATTAAAACTCAGCATTACTCAGTGGAAACCTTTACTTTAGAGAACTTTCAATTACATCAAGATCTCAGTTACAGAGAAGCCTGAAAATGGATGGTATCTTCAGGAACTTTGTGAGTCTTATCTTTGGACTACTGTCCTTTGACTGGTCAAGTAATCCCAAGGAATTTTATAATTGTGACCACACATTAAGTTGAGGAATGGTGGCCATAGGTGTCAAAGTAACTGAAATTTTCAGGTCAGAGTTTTATGTCTCTGAGTAGTCAGGAGCCTTAAAAACTGACAAGATAAAAACCATTCCTGTATTCTCTTTTCATCTGGTTGTAAAATGGCATTGGAAAGCGTATAAATTACGTGACCCATTCTGGTTAAGAAAGGAAATATGTTTCCTCTATTGTGATGAAGAGTTGGATTTTCAATTCTTGATGCTTCTTTAATGTTTCAAACTTTACTAAAGCCAGTCTCTCTGAAGCAACAGGTAATAAACACGTAGTGTCTCTTGTGTGATCTGTACAGGAAGTGAAATTGTAATTATTACCTTTCTTGCCAGCAAATCTGCATCTGTTTGTCACTGTGATTGAAAAGTTTAGAGAAATGCATGTGTTTTATGATGAAGAAACCATTAAAATTGCACAGCAAACTTGTTGTAAGAATGTGGATTTCCCAACTGCAGTATTTGAGCAAGCAGGTTTCACTTTTTCTGAAAAAATGTATAATGTAATTATTTTAATCTTATTAATATATATTCTTAGGGCTACTAAACTTAGCACTACATCTGACTTAATGGGTACAAGGTTTTGATATGATAAAAAAGCTCAGGAAATAAAAAAAGAAGAAAAAGGTACTGTGTGGTTAGAAATCTGATGTGCTTCTGCTTTGAAATCCATGTCACATTCAGCTTCAGATCAGTACAAGCTGTACTTGTAGTAAGATTTTTCTCTCTGATACTTACATTTTTAAATAAACAAATATACACATATGCTGTTTCATTGCACTTATCTGTGTTTTCATCTCAAAATGCAGCTGAAAATGAGAGCACACCGATCCAGCAATTACTGGAACACTTCCTTCGCCAGCTTCAAAGGTAGTAAACGTTATTCTGTCTTCAGCTGTGTTGGCCATGTCTGATGCATATTTATATTTGTTACTTGGCAACTTCTTACCCTGGTTTTCTGTGTGAAAGTAGTGCCTAGAAACTGACTGCAATCTATTAACTTTTGCAACCATGTCAGACCTGGTAGTTTTTAAAGATAAGTTGAGGAAAATTATTACCAACTTTGCAATTCTAGCATTGGGCAGGGAAATAAGTGTTTTGGGCAGAGGATACATTGCTATTATAAATATATTAAATATTAATGACTTAGTTTAGGTATTAAAAGCCAGTTATAACTCTACAGTATTTTAAAATATAACTGTTTTAGTTAAATTTTGTTTTATTCAGTGTCCACTATCAGATACAAAGCAAATTTAGAACTGGTTACTTGGTAATCTTCTGAATTTGGAGAGACTTTTTATTGTTTTCTTAAACCTGCACCTCATGTTCATAAAAAAAATTCCTTTTTTATTTTGTAGCAATAAGCTAAATTTGGAACTAATTTAAAAAAATTAAACATTGTATTTGTTTTTGAGGACCTTATGAACAGAGACATTTTTTTCCTCAATGTAGCCAAAAGACTGAGTTGGACTGTAGAGACATAGAAAACATACAAGCATTAATTAAGAAATACAAGGACTAGCTTGAATTGATCATTTGCTCATTGAATTGAATTGAAAGATATTTTTAATGGAAAATTTCAAGAATTGCTTTTTGAATAGAAGTACATATGTGAAATCAAAATGCTCTCCTTTATCAGGAAATTTTTCAAACATGCATCTGTTTTATGAGAATGTTTCTAGTGTTTTTTTGTTTTTTAAGTAGTACTGTTGTCATTAATGTGATACAAAAGCAAGGATCATTTTGTTTGCTTCTGTAAATCTAAATGTATTGTTTTTATTTTTAGGAAAGATCCTCATGGGTTTTTTGCTTTTCCAGTCACGGATGCCATTGCTCCTGGATATTCCATGATAATAAAACACCCTATGGATTTTGGTACGATGAAGGAAAAAATTGCAGCCAATGAATACAAATCAGTCACTGAATTCAAGGTGAATTTATAAAGGTTTAGATATTTCACAACTAGTAAGAAACTGAAGATTGTTTTTAACTGTAGAAGCCTTTCTTTCATTAATTAATGCTCTTTTTTTTTCAGAACTGAGCACTTTTGTATATTAAGTGTTTTACAAATAATCTGTCAGATTCTACTACAGTCTCCTATAAATTACTATGGAAACCAAGAACATCCAAAGTTCTGTGGAATTTATGCTGCTAAACTTCAGCAGGAGTAAGACTATCACAAAGACTTAAGCCATTGAGCTCTTTTTTTGGTCCTTTTTCTTTTTTTATTCTAGACTTTGTTAGATTGATTTAAACGTAATTTGAACCTGTCTGCAAGAAACCTGTGGATATACTGAAGCATTTTGTATATGAGTCAATAACAACTACTTATTTTTTATCTTTAGTTATCCTGTTTTTCATAGAACTTCATTTGAAATTGTCTTCTGTCAGAAACTTAAATGGCAAGTTCATTTGCAACTTAACTTTGATATTAAGTATATTGTTATGGCTGTAATAATTTATTAGCTCCATCATGGTTTTACATGACACAGACAGACAGTAAAGACAGACAGTGCAGTAAAAAATGTATTCATGGTATTACTAGCTCCTGAAGGAAAGGCGTTTTCCTTAAATGATTCATGAAGGTCATGAATTATTAGCAGCCTTTGGAATTGCTTTTTCGTAGACTGGTGTTGATATGACGGTAGCCATGACAAGACAACATTGGCTTATTTCTCAGGGTTAATCTCTTTTTTTGAAAGGTCCAACAAGGTGAGCAAAGAATGGTTTACATTTCTTACAGATGCTTTGACAAAGATTATTATTCTGTTTTGTTAAATATGCTATAGAGATTTATAGGAAATAGTGAGAAAGGATTCATGATAGCTTTGCCATCAGGAGTGCCTTCAGGTCTCCAGATTCTGTTACGCTGGATTGTGTTATTCATCACCTTAAAAGGGAATTTTGGGTGGGAGCTCTGTGACTGTTAAGTTACAGGCAAGGTTGCAGTATTGAAACTGGTGGATAGAAACCTAAAAAAAAAAGAAAATTGCAGTATTTTTTAGACTGACATTTTTTTTTTTTCAAAGACTTAGTTTCTACTGGTAGTTGGAGGAGTAATAAGTTTGCCAAAAGTCTGCCCATGTTATAGTGAAAAAGGAATTGGACTCCCTTTCTAGATACATGAGGTTACACAGAACTACAAAGCCAAAAACTTAATACAAGTTTGCAGGTTTTTAACCTCTGAAACAAGGTCTGCTCAAAAGGTACCTGTCTGATATAACTAGCTGAGGCTAGTCACAAGACAGTAAATAATCTGTCTAAGAGTAGAGTCTGCAAGAACTCTCTCCTGCGTTTAGAAGAGGAGCAATTGCTGCAGCAAACTCATTTATTTCACTTCAAAAGAAAAGGGTCTACTTCAAAGTGGGCAAGCAAAAGACTGGCTTTTTCTGCAGCGCTTAAAGGGCTATCACTAGAAGTGTAGTTTACATGCACTTCTTTGTCTGCCCAGTTTGCCTCCTCCATGTCACCTTCTTAATTTCTGTCTTCGTGAAAGTCTTGATAATTGGAGGCAGAGGTATTAAATGCTGTAAAAAGTTACCTTGGTGCTTGGTCCAATTTTTGGTCCATTTGGTTAAGGAGATGATGTTATTTCAGGCATTTAGGAAGGAGTGTGTTTTTTATAACCAAAAGCCAGTTCCAAAAGAAATTGAGCAGAAGGTGGAAGGTGAGGCGAAGAGGCTCAAACCTTTGCAATTCTGCTTTCGGCTTGCATTCATGAGCCTGCTGCTAGAACATTAGTATGTTCTTCAGAGAGCTGCCAAGATGGAGTGGTATCTCCCAGTCATTTAACAAAGGACTTGAAATGTTTACAGTTCTTTTGTTTTATATTTTACAGGCAGATTTTAAACTGATGTGTGATAATGCAATGACTTACAACAGACCAGATACTGTTTACTACAAGCTAGCCAAGAAGATACTGCACACAGGCTTTAAGATGATGAGCAAAGTAAGAGACCTATTAAAAACAAAAAAGCGGAAACTTTGGGGGTTTTTATGTTACCATACTTAAAAGGAACAAAGTAACCGTGGTAAATGTTTCATCCGTCTGTGATGAATTATAGCAGTGCCAGTTAGTGCTGCTGTATTTCAGGGTTTGATGGCATTCTTGTTAAAAACCAGTAATTTTTACTTATTTCTTTACCTTATCTGTACCACTGAAGTCTGTAAGAGCTTCTTTTAGTGGAAGCAGTTAAGATCTACATATATCCAGCTCTACTGTAAAATCTTACTTCTGGCTGACACTTCGAAAACAAGACGTCATTTAAGTTTTATTTCTGCATAAACCAGAAAGCACTACTTTTTCAAGGTGCTGGATGTAGAGAAGTTTGCAGAGGTGTCACAAATATATTTACTCAAATACTGTTGTTGGCTTGTCAAATGGAGGTTTATTTGTGAGCTGCTCTGTGTGTGTGTGTTTGTGTGTGTGTGTGTTACCGTGATGGTAAGTTTTGTGTAAAATAGTTGTTTTTGCATATGCAGTTTGTTTGTTTGTTTGTTTCTCTCTTGATAGTTGGGCTGCAGAAATTCTGATGCCATGCTACCATGACCAAATCATGTTGCATCGCCATTGGAAACGAGACATTAAGAACAAAATAAGGCCATGGCCATTCCCATCCCATCCCATCCCATTATCATAGCATCTTGGCTATGAGGGAAAGGTTAAGTCCCTGCCGCTCTGTCCTTTCTGATTCTAGGAACGGCTGTTAGCTTTGAAGCGCAGCATGTCGTTTATGCAGGACATGGATTTTTCTCAGCAGGCAGCACTTCTGGGTGATGAAGATACAGCAGTTGAAGAACCTGTTCCTGAAGTTGTTCCTGTACAAGCAGAGACTACCAAGAAATCCAAAAAGCAAAATAAAGAAGTTATTAGGTAAAGGTCTTAATGGGCATGCTTACTGGCTTGTTGCAGCTTTTGTATTATTACATAGCAGCAAAAAGCTGAGGAAAAAAACTCAGCATTTTCTTTGAGGTCCATAGGATAAATGGACAGTTTTATTGTATTTTACTTACACAACTTGTTTAATAACCTAGTGATTCCTAACTTGAAGCAAACAATTCAAAAGCTCACCGCATATTCTTTCAAACACTTAAAATTAATATCTATAGAAATATTTTCATTCTTCTTTATGTCTGTATTAAATAATGAATGGTTTCTTCTCATAATGGTTTTAGAATGTTATTTTATATTGGATACAGCTACAAATAGCTTTTGCATTTTGTCCCTTTTTTTCCTTTCCTAAAGTAGTCTCATCTAAATGTAAGAGGTTCTTTCCAAGAGGGCAAAGTGGCCCCAGATCAGTGAGTGATTTTATTTAACTTCAACCGTGTCTGGCAGGTTATGAAGGTACAGGACATTATTTCTGGAGCATATGATAGCATCTCTCCGGTGAAATCTTACTAAGCTCCTTGGTAAAATACATGGGTATTACATTGCTAGTGCAGTTGTAATCCTCTAGCTAATAGGTACCCCCATGTCCCAAATTCATATTTTTATAGCTAAAATCTAATACTAGTATTTTATTTTTTTTTTGAGTCTGAATTTAGTCAATTTATTTTATGGGATTTTAGCAGAAACCATGACACACAAGCAACTTAGGTTGTGCAGTGTTCTTGCATAGGCATCCAAAGATAGACTGTGAATTTAAATTATAGAGCATTGTATCAGCTGGAATTTTCTGGAAAAAATACTGCAACAGAGCATCACTAGTCATGTTGTAAATAATCTGATCATGTAGATATGTTCTGCAGTTTGCTTGGTTTTTTTAAATCTTCAAAGTAAGAAAAGTGAAATATACCTTATTTGATGTTTTTAAAAAGTGAACTTTAGAATTCTCATCAGCCACTTTTCATTTTTTGCACTTTCAGCATTTTTGCAATCCTTAATGCTGACAGAAGAAGTAGTGTTCTAATTTAGGGGTTTTTTGAAATAGAAGACTGCAACATGTATATTTAAAAATAATGTTTAAACAGTAATTATCTCTGGTGGAAGCTATTCTAATGATAACATGTAGAAACTAACCTGTTGCTGTATCAGAGAATTAAGAAAGTATAATTCTTTTTTTGATGGATTGTGGATAGAAATCAACTGAAAGCACCTCTTTGTAAAGAAGTCTTCAGGAGAAGGTGCTTTGGTTTTTGATTGTATTTTTTCAGAAGACACAATAATTTGGTTTAGGTGGTGTCCAGCATTAATTCTTGCATAAACTCTACCACAGGAGTAACTTTGTTCTTTGTCACAGAGCAAGAAATTGAGACTGCCAAACCATACAGTGTGGCTCTGTCTTTAATATTTACCTTATCATACAGTTCAGGTAGTTAAAAACTACCTTTAATTTTATCCTAGTACCAGTTTCTCAGCAATCAATTGTGGTACAAATCTACTTTTCTGCCCTTCTCAATATTTATGTAACTTTAGTAGCTGGAATGAATTTTTTTTTTCCTAATTAATGTGAAATTTTAAATGCTTGTATTTTTGCATTTGTAGGATTGATACTGTATTTTTTGGTGAACAGTAAGACCTTTAGAGGGGAAAATAAAACCTAGTAGCAGATATTTTTGCCTTCATATTTCATGGTTGCAGACAGAGAAGGAGTTGAATGTTTGCAAAAGTGTTAAAGCAGCTTAGACCTCTATATGGAGGAAGAAGTGACTTGATCACTTAAACATCCTAATGTTTAAATAGTTTTTGAAAACTTTGTTTAGGATGTTGCAATCTTCTGAACATTCTCTCAAAATTCTTGTCCTTTAATTATTCTGTTGTGTGTGATAGAAAAAGTGCCAGTTGTTGAGGAGTTTCCTGCTGTGTACACCCTTTCTGAAAGTTTCAATGACACAAAGTAGTATAACACATTTGTCTCATAATAGTATGATCCTGTGATCTTTTTATTGTCTTTAATAGCAAAACTTACTTGTGTATCGGATCTGAAACTCTATACAGAGAGAAATTCTTAGCTAAGCAAATGGAAGAAGATAACCCAGGAGAGAGAAATGGATTTGGTGTGAGGAGATGCTCTACCCAGTACCTAAGGTGTTTGGCCCTAGTGTCTAATGTCCATATAATGCCCTGAAATACTTTGATGTACAACATTTATTTGATATATAAAATATAATGAAGACTGCCATATTCTATGATATCTTCACACTTCTCGTTATGATACTACCTTTTTCTGATTTTATGTGATAGCTATGATCCTGTTCCATCCTTGGGTATGCTTATTCTCTATGATTTTATTGGTTTGGAACTTTAATGAAAAGGGATCTACTGAAAGATAAATGTTAAATTCTGTAATTTCAATTACAAGCAGTTATGTGATTCAGATTAGGAATGCTAATTGCCAATACTAAAAAGCATAGGAATTAAAGGACTCCGTGTTAGACTGGGACTTGTATCCAACTTCTGTAAGCAGCTGTATGATTTAATCATCATAAATGCAGCCTGTTGGGTTTTTTTGCTCTGATAAGCAACAGTTTCAATCCTGCATTACATAATTCTTTTCCTGCATCTTCCTTTTGGGAATTTTTGAAAATAGCATATTGATGCATGTGGGAGACTAAGGATGCATACAGCATTCACCTTGTATTAATGCCAGTTTTACTCCCAATCTCTGTTTTGTACTTCATTTTATACTTCATCAAGGTACAGAAGCAATTAAATTTTTGAAGTTAAGTAGTTTAGTAGTTTGCAGCTTCTGCTGCAAAACTTCATAATGTGATGATAATTCCACTTAAATGCTGAAGTAGACTGACACTGGGAGAACAGTGGGACTGATTGTTCTATTAAGCAAAGCCAGAATTCAGCCCTTTGTTTAGTTTTAGCTTTTAATTTCTACAGCTCCTCTTCCTCTCTTTTTTAGCTGCATTTTTGAGCCTGAGGGGAATGCGTGCAGCCTGACAGACAGCACTGCTGAAGAACATGTCCTGGCACTGGTGGAACATGCAGCAGATGAAGCTCGGGATAGGATCAATCGATATCTACCCAACAGCAAGGTCTACTGCACGTGGCAGTTTGCAGTTCTAGTTTGTGCCTGTCTGCTGAATGCTTTGTTTCACCTGAGGAAACAGGCTTTACTGTTAGGCTTTCTGAGACTAGAACATGTGGGATGTATGTTTGTGGATTACCACAGAACAGATACTGCTGTTGTCTATCATTTAGTTTCTACTGAAAGCCACTGTAGGAGGATCCTAAGTGAATCTCAGCTTCTATTGAACATCTTTGGAAATTCACTTGCAGAAAACAGTTAAATGTTACTAAATCTTGAATTTCAGCCCTTAGCATTGAAAGTGATTAAAATAACATTACACACAAATACTGTTACAACCTCAGAAAAAGCAAACTATGGCATAGGTTGAAGGGCTATTAGAATTTCCCTCTCTTCCCCCCCAGTAATTAACATATTTGTAGTGTTAAATTACTGTTTTTAATAAGGAGAGTCTGTAAACTCTTGTAGTTTTGTATTTATAAGTAGTAGCTGTCAGCTGTAGCATGAATATCAAATACAAGGATCTTTTATTGATTAGGTTTAGATAGCAAGTTTGACAGTCCTGAATGTGATTCTGATGTTCCATGTATTTGGGTTTTGTGCTCTTCCAAGGGTTAGAAGGACGAGCTTGGTGGTGCTGTTGGTGCAGTTTTCTCTTAATGATCAGTTTTTTAACTGGGTTTTTTAGCTCTGTGATGATGGTGTTGGATTCTTTCATTTCCTTATGCTAGGATTGGAGTGAATGCTTCAGGCATTCGCTCCACATCTGTACTGAGACACGTTTACTTTCTTTCCCTTGCCTTTTATGGAGAACTATTCCCACCTTTGCTCCCATTTCTCATCTGTCACTCTAGTGGCCACTGCAGCTGAGAAAAGAATCAGGATGTGTCCACATCCTGAATTTTCCACCTCTTTAAGAACTATTGCAAAAGAAACTTTACTTAGAAGCAGACGTGGTGTTATGTTTTCAAGCTAAATTCCATTTCTTGGGCAGTGGTCCTGATCATGGTGTCAGTTTAGGCTCAACTGAATTATTAAATAAAACTGCGAAGAATAGTGGGTGAAGCTGCAATGTATTTCTTTCAGGCTTCTCTGACCTCTGCTTTTACTGTATGCCAATATTAGATTTGGCCTCCTGTATGGAGAGAGTTTTAAACTTTTTCAGATGGAGAGGGATAAAAAACAAATTAGCAGAGATTTGTTATTGATTTCCTAAAATAAAATAGCAGAGATTTGTTATTGATTTCCTTGGAAGTATTTACTAATATTTTTGTAGGAAGACAACAGTTTTCATTTTCTCTTTATACTGAGAGGTTACAGTGGTTTTTTTTTTCTCAATTGATGTATAGTTGGTTGTTGCCTTCTGGGGCTGCAGGATCATATCCAGGGAAGCTACAGTTACCAGTGGGACGTGGGTCTCAAACAAGATGGGCTTTGCCTCCCTGGGTGGGGGGCACCTCAGAGTCAGTTTCTGTCTGACATTAGCTTTGCTTGTTGCATCAGATCTGGCTCTACAGATCTGGTGTGCTTTGTTGTCTTTCACATCTGCCTTTAGCATTGTGCTTGTCTGCCTCAATAGGTCTGTCACAGCACTTCTTCCTCTTGAAGAAATCAGCAGTGTGTTCATAAAAGTACTTCTAAGTAGAGAAAGTTGTGGGTGTGACATGAGAACAAGCAGTTCAATCTACATTTGAAAATAAACAGTGACTTTGTGAATAGGACTTGCAGTTTTGCTTTTAAAAGGAACATGTATTCTAGACTTTGCAGTCAGAAAGGCTGGCTCCATGCTAATGATAATGGAATTGCGTTTGTCTTGGGTGAGAACTTTAGATCTGATTTAGAAAGATGAATAAGGTGTTGTATATATGATTTATGAACTTCTGCTTCTAAGTCTTCTGTTCTGAAACACTTGCTAAGTGGTGTTAAATAGTTGTGACCCAAGGTTCTCTGTATGAAAAAGGGAATACCAAAGTGCAGTATCTCAATACAGCTAAAAATGCCTTTTAAAGTTTCCTGTAAATGGGCAGCTCCTTCTTTGAGTGTGAACAGTTTTGAATGATTCCTCCTGTATCTTTCTGGTTCTATTCACAGATTGGTTATCTGAAAAAAAATGGAGATGGAACTTTATTATTTAGTGTAGTAAATTCATCTGATCCAGAAGCAGAAGGTAAAAGCCGTACTCTTTCAAGCAAACATTTCTAGTCTTGTATCTACAATTAAGACTTCTTGGAAGTCTTAATTGTAGATACAGATCCTGTGTAGTATAGATAAGTTTTAAAATTGTTTTTAATTTTTAAACATTTTTTATTATTTTCATTAATGATTTCCCAAACCATTTCCCCAAACACCACAGAGGTGTTTCTGTTTGCCTTCCTTTTTTTCACTCTTCAGGTGCTTTATTTTGCTGATGCTAACAGTGAGAAGATAAAATAATATGTCCTTATAAGCACTTAAACATTGCTACAACTTTATAATGAGCTTGGAAGACAAGCTTTTACTGCATGTACACTGTAGTGTTAATATCTAATGAAAAAAGGTGAATGAAAATCCTGCAATCCTATGTAAATGTGCAGTGCATGGATGCAAATTGAGAATAATCTTTTACCTCTTTTTTACCTAATTTAAATCATTAGCTAAATTTCTGGTTTAAATTTATGAGGTTTTACTCATTTTTTTTAGTTTCTTAATCTTCTGGTGTTTTTTTGTTCTGTTGCTGTTATGCTATTTATACTATTTTATGTTTTTCCTTTGCTTTAATTTCGAGCTCAAGATGCATATGTATTGAAAATTTCTAATGAATGAAATGCCATAATGTTTTGGTGCTGAGTGTCATGTTGATTTAGCACTTCCTTCTCTAGCACATTTTGAGATTAGATTTTTTTCACAGCTTTCCTCTTTTTTCACTGATGAATATATGAATGCTTTTGACTAATCACATTGAGAGATTCAAGCCTGCTAAATTATTTGTCATTTGGAAGTGAATTTTTCTGGAAATAAATTGAGCATTTTGGCTGCTACTATGCCTATTACCTATTTCTGAGAAAAAAAAAAAGAAGTGATTTAATGCCTCCAAAACTATGCCACTGAAAATTTAGAGAGTGATGGTAATGGATTTCTATAAACAAGCAACCATTTAGTCAACCTAGGAGACTGTTTTTATCACTTCAGTGATACCTGGATCTTGAAAGTTTGTGAATGAGCTGCTAAAATAATTATATATGCTGCTGCATACTTTAAAAGTGAAGTAACTTAAATGAGCCACAGGTCTTGTGAATATGACATGGAAGCATATTTATAGCTTGTGTTTGAAATTTAAATGGAGCACCTGAATTACAATACCTACCATTAATGTATATTTTAAAAGACATTTAGTCTCTATGTTAATTGCAGCTCTAAAATAGCAAATTCTAATTATTTGTCACAAATTGTAAGCATGAAATGCTTTTCTAATCCTTCTTTTAAATCAAATTATTAGAGGAAGAGACTCACCCAGTGGATCTGAGTTCACTGTCAAGCAAATTATTACCTGGCTTTACTACACTGGGCTTCAAAGATGAGCGAAGAAATAAAGGTAAATACCAAAGGCCATGTTTAAACTTTGTGTTTATTAAATGTTCAGGCAATTACTTGATATTAAATAATAACAGTTTATACCTGTCTCTATATGAAAGTTTGCTTGGTTATGTTTATAACATATAATGATTAATACCAGAATGCAGTCTTTATTAAATTGATTTTTTTTTCTTATTAAACATAATTTAATTAGCACTTTATGAATTAATTTTACCTTAGTGTTATAGCCACACTAGAAGAGTTCCAATAACAGCAGCCCATTTCCTCTGTGGGAAATAGTTTTGCCATAGTAATTGCACTTAGTTGAAAAACAGCTTCCAGTCATTTGCATTTTTGAAACATATGACCAAGATTTTGCAGACTGGATTTTTTTTTCCTGGTATTAGTGACAGTTTTTAATAGTTTCTAATCTGCTGTGCAGAAACTGACTGGCAACCAACAGTAAAATAGATGGACACAAAATGGAGAAATATAAAAGGGAATGTGGCCATGAACCTTTTTCTTCTTGGCATGGGGTGGATAACTTAGTTCTTGATTTTTCAGTAGTATAAGTATGTTTGTTTATATGTTAAAATAGTTGTGCTGATTCTAGAATTGGGAAGTGTCCTTGAGATACTGGTCTTGCTTCCAGTTGGAGGAGAATACACATGGCACTTTCTGTGTCTGTTTCAGAAAACACAATCTCTCTTTTTTTCCCCCAAGTGATCTTTGACACTTGTGCTAATCATTTGTTGTGTCTTTTACCTGTGCAGTAACCTTTCTTACCAGTGCCAATACAGCACCTTCCTTGCAAAACAACTCTATATTTCATGATTTGAAACCAGATGAGATGGAGCTCCTATACTCAGCATATGGTGATGAAACTGGGATCCAGTGTGCCTTAAGGTAAGGGCTTCCTTATTAGGAAGGCTAACTTCTCATAACAATTTTTTGCAAAACAATTTAAACTAGAGCTCAACTAAGAGCGTCCAAATCCTGGGTTTTTTTCTAGGACTTATTTTTTTAAAACATCACTATAAAATTTGAAGTTAACTTTCATCTTTCTTGGTGTTTGTTTAGTTTTTGTTTGCTTGCTTTTGGATTTTTGGCAGTGGTGAAAGTTTTGGGGGGGCTTTTCCATTTGTCCTTTTAAGCTATTCTATTTTATTGCAAGGTTGTTATATAGATCTTGTTATTAGGGTCTTCAACCACAGTATATTATAGATTGCCACGGATTTGGTGTTTTGCTTTAAACCCAGCAGTAAATAATTTTAAAAGGCAAGTAATATATTTCAGTGGCTTTAAAACAATGATGAGGTTTCAGGAGGTTTCAGTAGAGTTAAAGCTACTTGAAAAGAAAAATACCACTTATCATTAAATTGTTGTTCTTGGAGAGAAAGAAATAATCTCAAGCTTTTTATTGCTTGTGTTTTGTTTTTTACCCCACTAACATGCCATCAATGATAGTTCAAGCTTGTGAAAGACAAGTTGCAAATCTACTTTACTATTAAAAATAAAAGAAAAAGCTCTATGTCCTGACGGCCTTAATTGCTTTTCTGAAGAAGCATAAAAGAGTTAAAGAAAAAAGAAAATGTAGGTGTAGTGCAGTGTATTTGGGAAAACATATTTTAAATTTAATTAGTTTTTACAAAAGTAAGTGTTTTCTGTAATGCTTATCTCCATTCCTGCTAGCTTACAAGAATTTGTGAAGGATGCTGGAAGTTACAGCAAGAAAATAGTTGATGATCTTCTGGACCAGATCACTAGTGGCGACCATTCCAAAACCATTTATCAGCTAAAGCAGGTGTGTCCTGGGTGCACTGAAGTGTCATAAATTCATCAGAATAAGAGTGAACATACTGGCTTTTTTATACTGTGTGAGATGCTTTGTTTTCCACTGTCAGTTTAAGCAGTGCAAGCTTAGCTGTTCAAGCAACTATAAACCAAATTAGAGACTGAATTAATCAACAAAGGAGGACTCCTTTTCTCTGGCTTGGTCAGTTCTCCAGTGTGGCTCACTATGTGACTGCAAGAAAGGAGGAGGCAGGAGATGCAGCATAGCAGGGACCAACCAACTGGATGGGGTTTGGGCAGCCTCATCACTCAATGTCATGATTTACATACAGACTTCTGAGTTCATTGCAATGCTTTTGTTCAGGTTTTGAGTTTTTTCTTAATTGAAAAACAAAATGTATTTCTCGTGGAAGGATTAATTATTTAGAACATGGAAGTAAAGTTTAAAAACAGATTAATTATCACTGTACCGCGTGTCTGTTAGCCCCCAGTGCTACCTTCTACATTCATGTAGAAAGGTTTTAACTTATTTACAAAAGCACTTTCCTGATGAGGTTCATACTAAGATTGGAGAAGAGAGTTTTCTCAGAAATGAGTATGATTCTAGTGAGAAAGCTTGCATTCCCAAGACAAAATAAGCTAAAAAAATTGCAAAATCTCTGAAGATAAATTTCATGTTATCTTCACTTTGAAAACCACTCTTAGTTTGCAATAATTGTCTGCTGTTTAAAATGCTGACACTCTGAAAAAATGAAGAATGAAGAAAGGGAGGCAGGGTGGGAAGATGGAAAGTACTTAGGCTTCCTGATGTGGTGGAAATGAGATTATGCTATATCTTTGCAGACTTAGAAGCATAAGGTGGTGTTTATGAAATAAAAGTGGTGGTGGTTGGGTATAAAAGGAGACAATAGAATGGAAAACACCAGTGGTCCTTTAGAATTTTCTGGGTGATTTTTCCCTTGGGGAAAAGATGGTGCATGTAACAGGAACAAATGTAAAGGATTAGTTCAAGAAAAACCCAATATTTTGAATACTCTTCTACGTATATAAATGTTTGTATGTAACATAGTCAGCTTTAAAATAAAATGTGGCTTTGCCTTTTACCACGTTTTTCTATGAATGTCATTCCAGGTGAGAATTTCTGAAGACCTCTCAAATGGTCAATGGCTATTTACACTTGAAAATGCTGTTCAGTTGTGACATACATGGATACACATTGATTTTACACAATTAAGTGTGTTTCAGTGATTATATACATGGTGTTCTATGCTTGAGCATTTTGTACTGCTGCATTTGAGTAAGAATTAGTATCTCTCAAGGTACAACCTTGAATGATTTGTGAGAAGTTACTGAAGTAATGACAAAGGTACTGCATTTGAATATAAAGTTTGTGAGCAGAGGAAATAGTGTAAGGGGACTCAAAGATTAGTTAAAATGCATAATACTAAAATATTTAACAACTGTTGCATTTTATTTGCATTACAGATATGTGAAAAAGTTAGCTGTCTTTTGCCTCCTTTTGTGTGTGGTTTGAATATACTTGAAGTGGTGTAAGAAAGACACCTTTCTCATGTGTTGAATGTAAGCAGTTATTGGTATTCTTTCTTTCCAGAGGCGAAACATCTCAGTAAAACCACTGGATGAAGTTAAAGTAAGTTATGCTAATATTCGGTCTGTTTGTTTGGGGATTTTTAATGGGGAAAGTGTTTTGGCATTTCAAGTAGAGAAAGTTAGGTTCTCTGAGCTTGCAACATTCAATTTTTTTTTATTTTATTTAATGTGCCTCTGTATGGTAATACAGAAAAGATTGATAAGTGGAATATATGAGAAAGGAGAGGCTTTAGGTTATTCCTAGAGAGGCTGTCCTGGTTAGTTCCAAATTGTTGGCATAACTGTCCATGATTGCCCTAGAGAAGAGCATCTTTTTGTGAAGGTTCTACTCAAACATCACAGAATGTGGCAGGTTTCTGTGATGGCCCAGGACCTCACTGTGGAAAACCAGTAAATTGCACAAACATTCTCAGGGAACATTCTTACTAAGTATAATCTATGAAATGCTAAGATCTAAAGTATTTCTTTGTTCTTTAGGTTCTGCCAGTTCTTATAAAAGAAGAACACAAGTTGCGTAATACCTGTCTGGATTCTTCCAAACAGATTATGGTAAAATGGTTGGGGGATAGGGGAGGAAAACAACAGGAAAAATAACATAAACAAAAACATAGTATTGAGACATTACTTTGTTTCAGTCCACAATATGAGGTAGAATATGGAAATTACATTTTCTAGAATAAGGTTGCAGTACTGAAGATGAATACTCTGATATTCAGTCTGGTTTTGTTTGTGGCTTTATTGTTCTTCATCTTATTTCAGCATGCATAGGTAAATCTCAGTGGCAGAAAGGTCCCATAGGAATCTGAAAAAGATACTTGATCTGAAGATTGATATTTGAGGTTTGGCCTGCTGTAAAATTGGAAAAGCCTCATTAATATTAATCAGTTTTACCACATCCATTGAAAATGTCTATTACAAAGTATGAGTAAATAATGCATATCTTATGCTTTTACAGCTACAAATCAAATCTTTCTTTTAAGTGGTACTGGTTTTATCTTGCAAATTATTTGTGACAACAGAAGATATACACTGCATTCCATGGCAATTCACATAAAAATTATATGGATCACATTATAGCAACTGAAAAAAAGATAAATCATAATTTTATAAATATTTCTTATGTTTCATGGAAAGGTGTAGATTTCTGTAGAATGTGACTGGTTAAGTTATTTCATATAAGTGCTAGGTTTCACTTTCATATTTCTAAAAGATAATATCTGGTTGTGTGTTTACCTGAGTGTCTCATTTCTCCTGCTGGATCAGGCATCCTCAGAGATTTCCCTTAGAATGGGTTTTGAAGCTTAGTGACTGATTTCTTCCTTTCTGCTATTACACTAGCAATATTGCAATGGGTGTGGAAAGAAAAGAGAATTTTAGACTTCAGGCTGTATTTCATTTTCCAAATGTATAGGAAAAATATTAGAAAGGCCAGTTCCAGCTAATACTGTGGAGAAGGCAGCCAACTGTACAAAAAATTTCAGTAAATCCAATGTTCACGTATGGAGAAGATGAGGGATGCTGGTAATACTTCCAGCTGCTAGGGTTCTGCCATGAGACATGGATGAGTTGAATGTGTAATTGAGTTTCAGCAGTCCTGGATTGTGAGATAAAAGCCTTGGCCATTCATGTGACTGTTCTGTCCAGGAACCATTTTGAGCTGTCTCTGAATTTTAGGTTAGCCAAGATGGTCAGGGATGCTCCAGTTTCAGGTGTTAAATTAAGACTTCTGAATGGATCTGTGCCTTAAACATTGTAAAGTTAACATGACAGCTTGTTACTCTTGCTAATCTTTCTGTTTGTTATATTTTAATAGGTTGGAGAATCTGCTGGAGACAGTAACACTTCTGACTTGGACTTCCTCTCCATGAAGCCATATGCAGATGTATCTCTCGATATTTCTATGTTAAGTTCGTTAGGTAAGTAACTAAATATATAAGACATCAGTTATGGCTTAGTTGTACCATTTAGACTAAACAAGGGCTGGATTTTCTAAGAATAAAAAGTGTTTGAAAACTAGTAGTAAGTGTACATCTGACAGAGATAAAAGTCTAGGGCTTATAAATGAAACCTTGCTGGTTTTCCTTCAAGATATGCATGTGTTATCCAAGCTAACTTTTCCTGTACAACTGAAGAAAACTGTATTTGCACCTCACTATTTTGATAGCTTTGCTTGTATTTATTGTGTTCACAGTAACATAGATTTTAAGAATCAGTGTGAAGCTTTCACTCAGAAATGATGTTGCTTCATATGATGTCTTGTAAAATAACTTGGGAATTAGGTAAGTATGTGAATCCTGATCATTGTACCACTCGAAATATCCCAGAGCAGAAATTGGAAGAAACTTTTGGTGCTGGTATCTTCAGTTGTGTGAAACAATTTGGATGCTGTTTCAAATACTTGCCTTTGATAGTTATCCTTTTAATACCGCAAGAATTACTGCTGCCATTTCTGCAGGCAGCTGAGCTGGACAAATGTCTTCAGAAATGTTATCCAAGCAAACAACCTGCTTATGTTTTAAAGTACTTTTAATTCTGTATGTGAAAGAGGTCAAGCTATCAATTATAAAACACAACCAAACTAATCAAAGGCTTAAAGGAAAAAAGGATTTCTACAAATTTCTCACATGGGTGCAGTTTATGTTGTCTCACTCTAATTTTATTGCCATTCAATAAAAAATTAATAAATATCCATTTTATAGATAATGTTTAGACATATCAGTCTTACTTTGAATTTCATGCACCACTGAAAGCTACTTACATTTTCTTCTTTGGCCTTTCTGTAAATAATCATACTGCTAGATTAGTTGGCTTCCAGAGAGAGCTTATGACATTACTTCTTTTCATAATTCTTGCAAAATTAACATCTCAGAAAGAGAAGGGAAGGAGTTTATCTTCTTGTTTAAAATTGAGGGAATTTTTTTTAGGTCTTTGTATGAAAGAATACCGTATATTGGCATACGTGTCCAACGGCACATATGTCCATTTCTTTCCAGTTTCACAGTTTAATTTGGCTTACTGCAAAATCAGTGTAGCTGGAGAAGATACTGTTCTTGGAACTTTCTGTGATGGGGATATCATTGCCTCCATACATTTAATGTTCTGTTTTAATTGTATTTTGAGTTAGATATCTAAGTGATCTTGCTGGCTCTCTTTTACCACAAACTAAATGTGTTATTTACCGGGAGGGTGGTGAGGCACTGGCACAGGTTGCCCAGGGATGTTGTGGATTCCCCATCCCTGGAAGTGCTCAAGATCAGGTTGGATTGGGCTTTGAGCAACGTGGACTGGTGAAAGGTATCTCTGACAATGGAGAGTTGGAACGAGATGGCCTTTAAGGTCCCTTCCGACCCAGGCCAGTCTGTCCATGTCTGGCATTTAACAGCTACAGGAGACAAATTAAGCTCTTACAGCTGTTCAAATACTGGGAGTCAGTTCAGTTTCAGCCATTTCCATGTGGCATTTCCTTCATCTTCCAATACTGCCCAGGTCTGCAGCTGTTGCTTTTCAGAAGTGCGAGGGAAAATGCAAGATTGAGGAAATTTGTGTATAGACAATGCTTGTGTTAACTAAGTTTAGAACTTTTTTTATAGTGACTTGGTAATTCATGGGTCAGTGTACATGTGCTAATTATGGGTTTTGGTTGTTGGCTCTTAGGAAAAGTGAAGAAGGAGCTTGATCATGATGATAACCACCTACATCTGGATGAAACAACTAAACTGCTTCAGGACCTTCATGAAGCTCAGGCTGACAGAGTGGGATCCCGGCCATCATCCAATTTGAGCTCCCTTTCCAATACCTCTGAAAGAGACCAACATCATCTTGGTAAAGTTAGCTGTGTCACAGAAGTTGCAGTACTTGTGCTCTATTTGAAATTGGTTTAAACTTACATTGTAATTTACATAAATCTTTGTGGGAAACTACTCTGATAAAGCAGTGTGCTGACTGATCATGTTTTAATTTTTAAGTGTGCCTCCTGGCAGAGATAACTAACAAGACATACTTTTGACCTCCAGAACTAAGACCAATAGTTGTAATTTCCTATTTTTTGATTAGATGTGATTGAAGTAATTGAAGTATTGGCAGAGTAAATTGATAACTCACTGTAAAATTCCCATAAGCACTTGCGTTTGATGCCCTTAGTTACATTAAGGAGTATATAATGATTATTTTACTTCAGCATAGTTGTGTGCAGCAAGTAACAAGTGGGATTCTACTAGAGCTTTTCATTGTCAACTGTAAAATTCAGTGGTAAGATGGGATGATAGTATAACATACTGCTTAAGAACTTGGTGGCATTTCTGAGAAGGTAGAAGATGTTGGATGGATGGTACTTAGTTGCATTTTGTATAATTATTCAACTCAGAGTAATAGCATAATAATTACTTTCCCAAAAATTACCTAAATTACTAAGAGTCTTGTGATTTCTTTTTCATAATCTCCTGTTTAAATATCATTTGGATGTCTTACTTGAAAAGTCTAAAAAGAGCATGTGAAATAACCGTGCTGTTTATATGTATAAATATCTGTTAATTTTTTTTCTGCACTTCTAAAGTTTTGATATTTTTTTTTCCAATGTTCAACAGGAAGCCCCTCTCATCTGAGTGTTGGAGAACAGCAAGACATGGTTCATGATCCCTATGAATTTCTTCAGTCTCCAGAAACCTCAAATGCTACTAGTAACTAATCTGACATGTACTATATTTATTTTGTATTTTAATTGTATTATGTTTTTATAAAGTTTTTGTCTATGACAGAAACTGCATTTTTGTCCTCTTTTCTATGAGGATTGCTGTATAATATCATGTATACAGGATTAAACAAGCAAACATATAAAAAAACCCGAACCCCAAACTAATTAGTGCGTAATGTCATTAGCGATGTATCAAGAGCTACTTTCATTTTGTTTGTTAAGGGAGAGTGTTATCTACTGTTCAGGTTAAGACAAGAACATCTCCAAAGAGGGAAAAAGAACTGCATGAATTTGGGTCATAATTGTATTTTCCATCTCCTAATGCTAATAATCTATAGAAATTGTTTTTAAACATTTCCCCATATTCTTAAATCTTTTTTTAATCACTGTAGAGGGCACCTAATTTGAGAGTAACAGTGCTTGGTGGTTCCAGTAAAATGCTCATTTACAAAACTTCTACCCTGGATTTTAAAAAGATGAATGTTTTTGTGATCCCTTGTATCTTGAAACGCAAAGCAAAGATAATACTTGTATTTTTTAATATGATGTGTATATCTCATAGGATGGAAAACCTGGATAAGGTGTGCTTTTCAATAATTCCAAAATAAAACTTTTATAATACATCAGTACTGAAACTGAGGGGTTTTGTACTATTGCTATGTGCAAGCAGATAATTGTTATGAATTTACGTTATTTTGTAAATATTAATAAAAGTAGAAAAGCAGTTTTGATGTATAGCAAATCTGTTGTTCTTGCCAGAGAAAAGTTTGCTTCCTTATGCTAAGTCTGAAATACTTTTGTGTTGAATTCATGTGCTGCTTCAAAAGATGAATTTCATCATGCCACATGAAGCTATAAACAAAAACATCTGTCCATTTTTAGGAGCCATCAAGGAAGTCAGATAACTGCTAGTAAAGTCTTGATAAAGTCTAAGTAGAAAGATTGTTTCATTCCAAGCAGGAGTGCTGAAGAAAGCACATGGTGAGGTTTTTCTGTCTGGGAGTTGTTAGAAATGTGTGTAGCAGTGTGCTTGGGCTCCATTGCTGCTCCTGCATTCTGACTCACAATGACTGTGACTCCTTGGAAGTGACATGGATGATCTGCTGCACTGTGACAGAGTTGTTGGCATGGACCCACAGCCTTGTGTCAGCCTGCAGCTTCCCAAAACAATTTCATTTGAAAAGTGTCTTTAAAACTAATGTGCTTTTGATATCTAGTAAAGTATGATTTCTCATACAGTAAATATAAATTGATTGGTGTAATAGACTCTAAATTACAGTTGCAGTTGGTGAGGAAATCTTTATTGGAACACTTGCTGTTGAATTGCCTGCCTTAGTTCTTGAATAAAATTCCACAGGAGAATGTTTAAAATACCCCTCTAGAGGAATGTGCTGGTTTGTTTTGGTTTTTGTTTGAACTAAGCAGTGTTTACTACTGAAAACTGAAATAACATGCAGTATCTTATTTGATACCTTCACCTTGACAGAATGCATTGAAACTCTGAAATTCTGCACATCAGCCTTTATGGGCTCTGTGAGCTAGGTTGTATAAAAGGCTGGATGTAGTTTGCATCATTAGTGTACCAGAGAGCACTTTGTGCCTGAGGAAGGTTTGCTTATTTATTCAGCCTCTCTGGCCCCTAAGCAATGTCAGTTATGCACAGCAATCTCTGACTGCTGTTTTATGGGTGCTGGAGACAATGCCTTCACTAGGCCTACTGCCTGCATTTCCCAGGGGAAAAAAATGTTTCTAGGGCAAAACTTCTTCTCAGAAGCAAATACAAATGTTTTTGCTGTGGTGCCTTTTCGTAAGTGGCAAACATTGACTTGTAACCTGTGTGCTGAATGTACTGAGACACGTGATTTGGCTCGCTAAATGCCACAAGAAAAGCTTTCATGTTTCTTTGAGAAATCTCATTCTCCTAAATTTTGTGGAAAGATTGGACTCTTGAGTTTGCAGCCTCTGGTAAAAAAATGCTAAAATTTTAAAGTAAGTGGTTGAAGTAATGTCTTTCGGTCACTTGTTTGTCACAATGTATTTTTACTGATTCTCGAGCTGAAAGAGAATCTCTTGCTCCTCTTCCTTGATGGTGTATGTGCCTATGCTTGTACCAGATGTATGCAGACTGTTGCATTTTCCAAATTATTCTGGTTTATTTGAAAAAAAAGCCTTAAGAAGAAATTTGCTGATCCTTTCCTTACCTATTTGAAGGGTAAAAATTCCCTAAGCCAAACCTTATTTGCTCTTGTCTCTGCAGGTGTTAGGTTCATATACACAGAAAAGCTTTGAACTAACCAGTAAAGGCCTCTAATCTTCTGGTCTTATTTAAATACTAAGAATTTGTAAAACTTGATTCAATTCTGTGAGTTCATTTAACATCTATCATTATTTATTTAATTTGAGATGAGCACCTTTCCTTTGTTGTGTTTGGTAGACATTTCAGCTTATTTGGGAGACAACTCTGTGTCCATGGCACCCCATTCATATCTGTGTGTAACATGTAACATCTTCTAGCTAGGTGGCACCATATGTCAATAAACTTTATCTGAGTTCCCATCAGTTGGAAAATGCTATCACTGAAATAGGGATGTTTTGTAAAATCAATCCAGGGTTTCTATAAAAAATTGAGAAAATAAAATGCATTTTTTTTCTATTTTTTCCTCTAATAACTGCTGTATCAAAAAGTGTATTGCACTAAGGATGTAAGCAATGTAAAGAGAAATCCTAGATCTGTTCTTCCACAGGGTAGAAATACATCAATGAAAATGTAAAATAGTCTAAATAACTGTGGTTATTCTTTTCTCTTTCGTATGCCTGTCATCAGTCTCATGTTTTAGCACAGTCATCTTCAGTGGCAGCACAGGGAATGTTGAGAATGTATTGTACACAGAGCAAGCATCTTTGTAAACAAGGATTCAGCATGGAGCAATTTTAGTCCACATTCTGAAATACACAAGTACGGGGACAGAATTTACCTGAAAATATTAGGTGAAAAATAAAAAATCTTTCTAATGTTCCTCCCTTGCTCTTTATTAAAAGAGAAAAGAAAAAGCACAAAGACATTTTTTAAGCCATGTAGTTCTTTTGCTTTCTGGCAGATGCTTTGCCCTGATGAGAGATTAATGCAGATGAGACCTGAGCAGCTGACCATCAGAAATAACCAAATTTCTCCACCCCTACATTCCAGAGTGAAGGGCTGGCTCTTACCATGCCACTCATTTTTGTCTTTGTTGCTTTGCTGTTGTTTATCTACCTGGCCACAGTAGGATTTGGAGTCTGCACACCATTACATCCTTATGGATGGAAGCACGCTGCTTTTTCTGGTTTGGTTTTTCCTACCCTTCTACCATCCTTCTTGGAATACATGTTACTATGAATGCTGATCTGTGTGCTGATACGGGGAGGGGATGAGAAGCCAATTCACAAGGAAGGCTAGGGCGTCTCCAAGGGATGGCATTTATTGCTAGTGTGTTTAAACTCTCACTTGCCTATTGCAGAACTCAGTTTATGTGGGTGAGTCGGGTTTGTGTTGCAGGAGGGTATGTGTGTATGTAACTGGAAGTGTCAATTATGTGTTTGAAGATCCTTTAAATGGTGGCTGCAAGTAAAGGGGCAGGGGATGGGAGAGCGAGAAGAACCACAAATGTTTGAAAGCCAGGGGGCAATGCTTTGCAGTTGAATGATTTTTCCCAGACTGATCAGAAATTACTATAAATCTCAGAAAGTAAGACAGCATGTTGTTTCTGCAAGGAAAGAAACAGCCCTGTGAGAGCACAGCTCTCCATTTGCTTATGGGGCATTCAGCCCATTGTTGCAGAATTAAAACTTTGTGAATCTGTCATGGAATTATGAACTAGCACTAACTTTATTTTCAGAGGGGTCAACTTGGATAACAGTAAATACCTTGTTTTATGTTAGGTTTTCTTCATTGGCAGTTCATTACATTACAGAGCACAGTTCTGCATATTGTCCAAATAGGACTCTTTTCATTTAACATGGGAGAGGGAGAAAGGTTTAACAGCATAATGAGAAAGAAAACACTGATAGGCAGTAGTTCATTCACTTTTTATGTACAAAACATAGATTGTTGCTAGGAAATGGTGCAGTGTCAATGGAGCACTCTTATGACAGCACTGTAATTCTTGTTGAAACAGAGGTTGAGCAGTCAGCACAGCTGTAGATCTAATGCCTAAGGTCTTTTGCAATGCATTTAAGAAAACAATCTTAATTGTGTCCCTGCTTTTGCTTCTTTTGAGCATACCCTGGAAAAACAAGGTTGCTGATGATTATCATGCCTTTATAGATGAGTAACAGCCTTGCTGAAACTCTGATGTGCCTGCAGTTGTGTGTTTTCTGTCATTTGCATTCTCTGTATTATCAGCTGAGGAGCTGTGTGTCAGCTGTGTTGTGTCCCATAACCATTTACAGTGCTGGAGACATCCAGGAAAGGAAGACAGAGACCTCTAAATCCAGCAGCATGCTGCATTTCTTGCTTAGCAGTTCTTGGAAGAGATGACAGATGAGGTTATCCCATTCAGAGGTCTTCCCAAATATCTCTTTCTCTGGAGTAGGAGATAGGTCTAAGCTAGGAAGATATGAAGAATTCTACCAACTGCTGTGGAGCTTCATTTTGATGCTTTTTTTCAAAATATAATTGGTCTTTACCTTATGTAGTAAGAGGTTTTGATTCTGACACTGACAAAGGTATAAAAGGCAACAAAACCAGGCATTTCTCACCTATTTGCCAAAGTGTTTCTATGTTCTAGCTGACAGAGAATTTAAATACGAGAAATACCGAGGCTTTTTTTCCTTTACATTTCTGCCTCTTGTAAGAAATATTTGAAGAGGCAAAATCCTAAAACTTCTGTATCTCTGCACTGGTCCTTTCTGAATCAGATTTTTTTTTTTCTCCAGCTTATCTGCAGTTCTGTTTCTGATGAATAACTTTGCCTAGACATCATAGGAAATAATTACATTTGGGCACACAATGAGACTTCCTGGACTGGTGAAGAAAACACACCTTCCCATTGTCCTTGTGTTGTGTCAGTGAGCAGTCATTCTCTTCAAAATATTGGTAATTGCTGTCATGGTAACAAAACAAAAACATGGTGTGGCAACTATTTTCAGCTTTGCATGTGTTATCTCTCCTGGCTGTGAAACACTTCAGTTTTTAACCAGGACTAGAGGTGTCCTCTAGTTTAAGCCTGGCATGGATAATTTTTTTCTGAACAATG